TGGTGGGATGATGAGTGCTACCAGCAACTTGTCTCCCGCAATGCGGCTTGGCGAAAGTGGCGTCGTGAGCGTACAGCAAATGCCCGCGAGGCGTTCTGTCGAAAAAGGCTGCAGTTCCACCATCTCGTCCGTCGTAAGAAGGTGGCCTTTTGGTCTTCTTGGCTACGCATGCAGGAAGGGTTGTCGCGTTCCAACCCGCGCGCAGCTGCACGTAATGTACGCGCGCAGCTTGCCCCTGGCAGGCATGGCTTACCGCGTTCAATGAGATCCCCCAATGAACCGGGAGGTCGTGTAGAGGGTGAGCAGTGTCTCAATGCATGGCGTGACCATTTCCGCGATGTGCCGGCGTTTGTTGGGTTGGCCTGGCGCACCTGGCGTAGCAGTCTTGGGCGAATTGGGTTGGGCACCGCTTGCCATGGAGGCCAAACGGCTACAATATGGATTGTTTGCTTGGCTGAGCAGCGCGGGCGCACACAGTGCTCGTTGTCGCCTGGCAACGCGGGTCTTTCAGTTTGCTTTGCATTGTCCAAATTCTTGGGCTCACTCTACAGCACAGAAGCTCCGCATTGACGGCGTGGTGCTTCCAAGCTCATTTGGTATAGGGCTTGGTGTGCGTATGGGGCAGGTTGGCTGCCATTTTCCGCCCTCCGTGAATGGACATTGGCCCGTTGTGGCCATCATCCCTTCCATGATGGCAGACGTGCTTGTCATCGCCAAATGCATAGCCCTGAATGTCTCTGTGGTGCCACAAACTGGACGTTTTTGCACAGCATCCGCTCATGCCCCCTGTTTGAGTTGCATCGCCAACAATGGTTGATGCGGTTGGGCTTACCGCGAATGCCTCAGCTTGGTGACGCGGAGCTGTTAAGATGGATCTTCGATCCAAGCATTGTTATCAATGGTCGATCTGCAGTAAATGCCCATGTAATGTATGTTGCTTCTGTATGCCAAGCGGCGCGTTCCTTGAGAGAAGGGTGATCAGGGGTGATCGGATCGGCGTGTGGCATCTCTGACGCATGTTTTGCGCAAGATGCGCTGCCCTGTGCTGTGCTCTCCCAGCTGGCTGTCCGTTCCTTTCAAGCTTCTCTTCATAGCGTGCAGTTCCAAGGCAAGGAGACGCTGGATGTGTACTTGCATCCTGAGTCCCTACCTTGAAGAGCATAGCCGCAAGCACAGGTAGGCCCATAGAAGTTTTTCTTGTTCCGCCGGATGTGGGTTTGTTAGCCTTGTATGCCTTTTAGGTTTCGCACTTATGCTGATGTGATTGATCGGGGCCCACCGACTGAACAAGGAGCTTTCTTTTGTATGGCTTTAAATAAGCCAACATGTTACCGGTCAATGTGCCTGGCCATTTTGTATACTGACCGTAGACGGTTGTTCAAAAGACCAAACCTCCCTCCCAGGTGCATTTTCCACAAATTATTCGGCATTCTTGCTGAGTGTGACGCAGAGTAGGGATTGCTGCGCTGCCGGCATTCCGTACTGTTTGCAAATTCTGGCAGTGTGGGCAGGACGGCATCAGCGTACGTCAAATTTCAGTTGAGGACGGTGCTGTCAAAGTGTCAAACCTTGGCGGATGAGCAGGCAGTAGGAGGCATCACTCAAGCAGATGTGTTGTTTCCAGGAGTGCCCAGGATGTCGTGCGGGCCGGCGACTTTGTGAAGGCTGCATGCACGCTTTGTGGCATAGCGCATCAGTTTCGCATGTGTACGTGGCCGCTGGGAGGCGCATTCAGCTGCGATGCCACCCTGGTCTCCCCACTTACACGCACGGGGCAGCCCTGCGCGGCTGCGACTGATGCGGAGCGACGCAAACGGGCGGCGTACCCGGAACTCAGCGCGGGTGGCCCGCAGCATCTCGTGGTCCTGGGCGCTGAGGTTGGAGGCCGCTGGAACGAAGGCGCTCTGCGCCTCTTGCGCGACCTTGTCCGCGTGCGAGCTCAACGTGCCCCGCCCGCTCTCCGCAAAGCAGCAGCGTCGGCTTGGACAAGGCGGTGGTGGTCACAGTTGGACGTGGCCGTGCAACAGGCCGTCGCCAGCACGGCGCTCGGCAACGCTTGGCCCGCGCCCACATGCGCGAGCAACCCGCCGGGCCCGGAGCTCGACCAGATCCTGCACATGGCCGAGCCGGCGGGGCCGTCACGCCTGCCGCTGCGCTAGCGGCAAGGTCTGGCAAGGGTAGAAGGTATGTGTAGCTGCGCCAGACTGGACCAAGCTAGTCGTGCAGGCATAAAAGTCCGAGAAGGGAAAAAAAGTCAGTTGCAGCAGGCCTTGATGCCGGAAGACCAGATCAGCGCTGAGATACTGATTGTCAACAAGGTCACCATTTTCCCACTCTCGGTTCAGTTAGACTCTGGCGCAAATTGCTGCAGGCCTCCGGCATCCGATTGGAAGCGGAGATCACGGAGGCAACTGCGAGTTTCTTTTGTGATACCTTGGTTGAGATGGAGTTAGGTTTGAAGATTGAGGTAGTCGGGTTCACCCAGTATGTGGTCCCAGGTGCATTTCCACAAATTATTCGGCATTCTTGCTAAGTGTGACAGACAGCCCGGCAAAGTTTCTAGTCTTTTTGTTGGTTGCCAGTTCAGGGTTTTTTCACTTAGCCAGTCCCAACACGCAGCCCGCCGAGCGCCAAAAAGAGAGCGAGCTTGCAAGGGATTTTCGGGCAGTAGTCAGGGGGCGGTTCCTAAGGCAACTGCGACTGACCCCACCAGAGGCAGGCGCATAGGTGAAGCTTCGCACCCAGGACCAGGATGCAGCGGTGATGCTAGTAACCGGCGCGAGCGGACGTTGCATGCCTTAGCAGGCCTACACATTTGCGACCCCCCAGCATCTCCAGCATGCACAGTGTCCGACACGCTAAGCGAGAACACGCCTTTTGCCACCCCACGAGAGCGCAGAGGTTGTGAAGGCACGCTCGCAGTGGGAGGGGAGGTGGCGCCAACGGCTCCTGGCGACGCAACACCAGGGTTCACGCTGCCGGCCTCGCCGACAGCTCCGGCCGCGCGCCAAACGGCACTGCGACCGTGGTCAGATGCTCGTCCACCTAACGGCACCTTGGCGCAACCTTCTCGTGGCTGTTCGTGCCGTTGTTGCACGCAGGGGCAGGCAGCTTAACGGGGGCAGCGCAACAAGCCGGCAATCAAGGCCGCGCATTGGCGACCGATTTGCTGCACTGGCCGAGGCCCTGCGCAATGCGCCTGCCGTGGTGCCGTCCGACCTCGCCCGCCTGATCAATGCCGAATTGGAATGTGATGAACACACTTTGACCTCACGGGCGGTCGCGGACGCGGCAATGACCGTAGCAGCGCTGGCAACACTCCCCCCCCACCCGCTCTCTCTCGCACAGGCCATTGAGCTCAGTATGGATTCGGAGGGGTACTTGTCCGCTGCTGCCCAGGCAGCCCTCTTCCACCTAGCCGTGGCAACTGCCGAGTGCAAGACGTTCCAAGCTGCGGAAGCGCATCCGCTGATGGAGACCCAGGCGTCCCAGTCTGCCCTACGCCTGCCGCCGCGGCGCAGGCACGCCATCCGCTCCCTACACTGCAGGACGTGCCCCCAATCTTACAGGCCGCCGTGCGGGGCGCGTTGGTGCAGGCGCTCGAGCGCTTGCGGGCGGAACGCAGCGAGGGCGCAGCCACCGGCACAGGCAGCTCGAGGGCTTGGAAACTCTTCATACTGGCGCCGCGGATGCTGCTGGCGCGCACGGCTCTACAAGGCCCGCAGGGCCGAGCAGAGCTCTTGGGACGAGCGACCGCATTCCAGCGCGGCGAGTGGCTCCAACTGCTGCAATCCGCGCGCCGGGCGTGCGACCCGGCACGGGACGCTCCCGCCCTACCTCCCGACGAGGTTTGCGAACGCAAGCGACGCCAAGCATGCGCTAAAGTTCAGTGGGGCGAAGTTTCGAGAGCGCGCCAGGTGCTGACCGCAGCAGAGCTCGCGCCAGGCAATGAGGCTACTTGGGCCGCACTGACCGACCGCAACACGTCGCCCTCCCGTGCCGCGAACCGAGGTTTCGCCGGAGCTGCTCTCGCACCAGCCGGCCCAGCCAGTCCACCTCAGCGAGCGCCCGGCCTTTCCGGCATGCGGGCGGAGCATCTGAAGCTCCTGTTGCAGGACGTCAATGCCATCGAGCTTCTTGCCGAAGCGGCCACGCAACTGGCGCAGGCACGTGTCCCCGCAGACATCCCCCCTGCGCTCGCAATGGCACGCCTCACAGCATTGCGCAAGCCAGACGGCGGCGTGCGGGGCATAGCAACAGGCGACGTGTTTCGCCGCCTTGTGTCCAAAACGCTCGCCAGACAATGGGCCGCTATGTTTGACGTCGCCACGCGACCATACCAGTTCGCCCTGCAGGCCCGAGCCGGCACCGACGCGCTGGCAGCCCACGTGCGTGCCGCCTTGGCGACACGCAGCGATGCGGTGTTGGTGTATCGCGTACGACACGATGTCCCGGGCAGCATTTTTGGCCAAGCTCCGAGATGTCGCGCCGCAGTTGCTGCCGTTCGCGTGGATTCCGAGGGCAGGCGGCGGGACATTCTGCAGGGGGAAGGGTGCGAACAGGGGGATCGCCGTTTGCCCTTGGCCAGCATGATGTGTTGTGCCAGGCAGCAGCCAGGCTGCGCCCCGAGGACAGCCTCGTGGCTTTCTTGGACGACCTTTACATCATCACCAGCCCTTCAGGCGCACGGGCAGCATTGGATGAGGTTGCGGGTACCGTCGCGGCGCGCTGCGGGATAGCCAACCTGGGCAAAACCCGAGCCATCGCGGCAGAGGCCATCCCCGCCCCGCCCGGCATTGCCGAGCTTGGCAACGAGGTCTGGCGGGGGGACAAGCCCGAGGCCCAACGCGGCGTCGTCGTCCTTGGCACACCACTCGGGCATCCAGCATTTGTGCAGGCATGGGCAGAGGACCGCATGCGCCTTGAGCGACAACTGCTGGACCACCTGCCGCATTTACCGGATTTGCAAGGCGCCTGGTTGCTGCTGCTGATGTGCGCGCCCCCCCGCGCCAACCACGCTATCCGGACATTGCCCCCGTCCGAGTCCGTGGCATACGCGCGAATGCACGACGAGGCCATCTGGGCCACGCTGCGTGATTGCTTGGGCGGGGTTGGCGAAGAAGACGCAAGCCACGCGCACGGCATCGCCTCACTCCCGGCTGCTCTGGGGGGCCTCGGTTTGCAATCAGCTGAGCGCACAGCGCCGGCGGCGTACTGGGCCGCCTGGGCGGACGCCTTGGTGCCCCTGCGCGACCGGCTGCTTGAGTGGGACGACAGGTACACGGAGCTCCTGGAAGCAGGAGGGGGCCATGCAACGTGCCTACAAGAGGCGGCTGAGGCCAGGCAGACCCTGCAGGGTGAAGGGTGGACCGACTGTCCCACGTGGC